TATGACTCGTGAAGATCCAGGTTAGAATTGATCTTCAGTTACCTCATAATGCTTGTCGTAAGAGCTAGGCGACTAACAGGATCGGGTGTTCAGACTCCGCTGACTTGGTTGACACATGTCATCATATCACAGTTGCGTAGATCGATGCTCATGTTGTTGATCATTGATCATTGATTATTTACAGACCGCCGCATATAGCTGGAATACTGCTTAGATCGGCGTAAAACTACACCACTCACTCTCAAATATTCTACCATCAGATCTTGTTGACAACAAGAAACAAGCATGAGTCATAACTAAACAACGTCAATCACTCACTCACGCACACTCTTTCATACAAACATACTTCCATTAATATGTTCCCTTATTTATTTACTTCTACCAGTATTAGAAAGACTCTGCTGTGTTGTTCACATTTGGAATTCTGAAAGCAATTTTACATGACAAGACAAAGTTTATTTAACAAAGCACATGTCAAACACAATATACCCAAAACACTGTGCTCAGCAACTGTAATTACAAAGAGCTTATCCCCAACCCACCACGCCCTAACCACAGCCAATCTCAGTTGTCCTGGACTAAGTTATCTAATTATGGAAGTCAACCCTGACACTAAATCTTGGATTAACTATGGGTGTTATGGACCACAGGCTAAATGTCACCAATGCCAGTCACCACTGATGGGCAATAATAATGACATGAAGGTCACACATAACAATTCTATGGTTTTCAAACTCTGTACCAACATAAAACATAAGGCATTGATTGGCACAATTTCAATAAAGTTATTTATTTCTTTTACTATGATAATTCACCTTTCTGTGATGACACTTTCACAGAAGGTTGTATCAGTTGAACTTCATAATCAGCTAGTTGGTGCCAAGACTTCTAAATTCTTGGTCAGAGTTTAGGAGGGAATGGTTCGGTGGGGTAGCCCAGTGGTTAATGTGCTCGCTTGTCATGCCTAACATTCATGTTCAATTCCCTACACGGGTTCAAGGTGTGAAACACATTTCTGATGTCACTCCAACATGATTGCAGGAGTACTGTTAAAAGTGGTATAAAACTATGCCCACTCACTCGCACTGGAGTGAGTGAGTTTAGTTTTATGCCGCACTCAGCAATATTCAAGCTATATGCCAGCGGTCTGTAAATAATCGAGTCTGGACCAGACAATCCAGTGATCAACAACATGAGCAACGATCTGCTCAATTGGGAACCGATGACATGTGTCAACCAAGTCAGTGAGCCTGACCACCCGATCCCGTTAGTCGCCTCTTGCGACAAGCATGGGTTACTGAAGGTTCATTCTAACCCAGACCTTCACACTTCACTCACAGTGGAGACCTGATGGGTTAGAACCATTTAGGTAAGCATATCATATTTCTGAAAGGTGAGACCATCAATGGTCGAGCTCCAAATGCAAGACCATAAGAGACATACTATTACATTGTTACAGCAATTTTTACATGTCATTATTTCTGAAGAAATGCGCAAAAGTGTGTATTAATAAAGAATGAAAGGTATATTTGTGATCTGATGCTATGATCAAAATTTAGAACTTCCGTCTGATTGGCTCACCCAACCTATCCTTTATTTACAATGGGCTGTCCAAGTCTGTTTAGGGCTCTCTGACAAAATCTTCTTGAGTTACAGATCTGAATTTAAAAGGACTGAATTGGATATGGTATGTATCAAACTTGAGAATACTCGGCTTCCCTTGTGAAATACAAGTTATCTCAATGAATGCCTAATCACTTGCTATTTCATCAGTGGTGCAGCCAAAAGTGAAAATGTCCAGAACCACGCCACAGGTATAATGGACGCCCCACAGACACAGTACACAGACACCAACTCAGTCAGTCCTTGTTTTATCTCCTGGATTCCATGCAGGGTAACAAATACCATATTTTAAGTCTTTTGTATAGGGATCGAACCTCGGACCTACCACACTCCGGACAGACCCTTTACCCGCTTGGCCACATGTGTTACTTTTCAATGACATGACAAGAAAAGACAAATATTGTATTTACATTTATTTTGCAACTGATTTTCATGATGTTACTTTGGAAAGTTAAGGGATATTGGGGATGAAATTTGCTTGAGTCAAACATTGATTCCATATTTTAAGCCACCAGAAGCTATTGCATTTCATCACTGAACATATAAACAAATTAATGGGTTTTTTAACTTCCTTTTTCCTGACTTGTTTCTGAAACTTTGGGTAGCCATGGTAACAACTGTCTGAATTCCTCTCTATAAAAAGTAGAATATCGCATGTAGGATAAGAGTGAAACCAAGTATAAAGGAAATTTGTTCCTGCTCAGCTGACATCATGTGTCATCATGTGATCCACCACAACAAAACTCAATTATCTCAGTCATCGGGAAATATATCCTGCTGGTCATGGAAAAAAACATTTATCAACATGTCTTTGACTGAATCAGCTGATAGTAAAAAACATGTAATTCACGGTATTTTCAGTAACTTCCCAAGGTCATTTTGATTAATTTATAGTCTAAACATGGAACACTAGTATGATGGCAACAATGCTGACTTTTATGGATCATGGAAAATGTAGTCGTAAAAGGCAAAATAAATCACTGGCCATCTGTCAAAAATCTATTCAGGTAGAATGAATGATGAATTATAATAACGTTACACCTGAAAATGAAATAGATTACCAAAATCTCAAATCAAAATGCTGCCAAATGCAATAAACCAGAATCGATTTTGATTTCAGTTTCGCTTTTTTTCTGTATTTAATCGTCCTTGAATCAAACTGTCAACTTTAAACCTTTCATGATATTTAAACATTGAACTTTAACTTGAAAGCCAATATTTCAAAGTGAAATAAAAAAATATCATTGAAGGAAATTATTTAGAAAATATATGTACATGGGTCTCATAATGATGTAATACTAAATGTGTCCTACAATACTTATGATAATGTGACATCCAATAAGTTGTTGGCTAATATTATCTTTGATCAAGCTAGAAATGGCGCAGTTGTCAGCTGGTAACACTGAAACAACACAACAAAATTTTAAATCAAGTTTGTTGATTTTCAAATTTTGTTTGTATTTTCAAATCCAGTGAGGTTGAATATGACACATGTGCCTTGACCTCATTATGACGGGACTTATCAACACGCATGCTATCGTATCCATACAAACACAGAAGACTGTAAACAAGTAGCCTCACGCTTTCTACACAACTATAGAACAATACAGTCCTTGCGTTAAAAATTATCCACATCTGGAAAATATTCATGAATATTTTCTTACCTTGTCATATCATGTAGAGTGCTAAGAATACCTAAACTGAATAAATTAACTGGGTTTTTAAAACAAGAAAGAACCTGTCCAGTATTTATTTTCATATTGAGGGAGCAAAATTAATATATATTATGTCTAATAAGAGTTAAAATCTCAAATAGACAAATAATAAAACAATTCTATTTCAAATGCCTTTTGTGACATCATATCACCTATTATTTTTATCTAAAACTTTTATTACCAGAGTCTGTTTTTCATCATGAATAGAGATTCCAATATAAATTCCTAATTTTCTCTTTAAAAGTTAAGTTTAGCCCCAAAAGACCCTTCCCATTTCTATAATTTAATATGATTTGTGAATCTCCAAGGAACAGACTGAAGTAATTACTGGCTTCACACACCTCCTGCTAGCCATAAGGCTGAAAAAAGAACAAATAATCTATAATTGGAACTGATTGTTCTGGCAGTAATCAATCTCAAAATGTACATCTTCAATTCGACATTTTGAGCTCCAAGGACAGCAAGATCTCCCCTTATGAGCCTACCAAACCTGAGTGTTATAGAATATATTGCATACCACATTTGCCATAATGAATGCCCTACTCAAATATTTGCTGCCATATTAACTTCAAGACCTGTCAGTTGTCTTTATGAAGCACCCCTGAGTTCTGAAGATTGTAAATGGACATGGCAGCCATATTTCTTTGCATAACACAATTCCTACATAGCAGCATATAAAAATGCCTTGTAAATGTTTGTTTCAATGTTTGAATTTAGTTTGTTCACTAATATTTGATATCTACAAACAAATTTAACTTATGTGTGGTTTTAACAAATATCCCACTATATTTCTCACTATATTTCCAAGCAAGTTAACACTGCAATTATTTATTTACCAGTTATTTTCATTTCTAAAAGATATTTTTACTACTATTTTGTCCACAACAAGTAAGGCATAAAAATCTAAGTTTCAATAGGAAAGTAACATTTTCATTTTAAACATGAACTGTCTTGTAATAAAGAGACCTATTTAAAGAACAGAAAATCCCTTATCACGCCAAAAGACTAAAATGACAAGTCTATGACACAAACAGATGCCTGCATCTTACATGACTCGATACTTCTGGCTCTAAAGACAAATGTTGTATGTGATGGAGAAAAGCCTTCAACTGGTCACTTCCATGTTCTAGACATGTGGATGTTTTATACAGTGTATAGTTAAACACCTAGTGCATCACGACCACTGGTATAGAAGTACATTTACCAGTGTTGGGACCAGGCAAAATCGGGAGAGCTCTGATCGTGTTTTCAATAGTCTATTTATGTAACATAGACCATTTTTCTGAAATATGATGTGTGCAATTTTGATACATTTCATGGCAACTACAATTCTTCTTCAGATCAATGAATAAACTATTTTTCTGAAATATGATGTGTGCAATTTTGATACATTTCATGGCAACTACAGTTCTTCTTCACATTGATCATTTAATTACATCGTACTTAACAAACAAATTCACATAACCATAATTACTTGATACATAATTCATAAAAAAAAAACCAAAAAACCCCAAACAACAATATCTTTCTAATAAAACAAACATTGGAAGCAGAAATGCAAGTCAAAATCACCGAACGTTTCAATACATTAGTCCAGTCATTACAGTGTGCCATATTGTCTAACAGTGACTTAACAAAGACGCTGATCACATGTGACATCACCTTTCAGTAAGAAGCAGTCCTCCGATATCATACGTTCCATCATCCCTTACAGTCAACTGCGGTACTCCATCCGATCCAGACAAACTTTTGGCCAAGTCGGTAATGGCTGGGTTCACCACCCCATGATCACCATCACCACCACCCTTGTCCTTCTTACACCTGGCCATCTTAACCCGCTTGCTCACTGTGTTCTCTTTCAGTTTCATGTCTTCCACCACAGAGACAACAAGCTCTTCCTACCAGGACAAAAACAGTGGAGATCCCCACACAAACTCCTGGCGCATGCTTACTGACCATACACTCAAACACTGACTGTGTGCAGGATCTCACTTCCTCAAACACTCACTGAGCTTGACCCCTGGCAGGTCACACGCATATATTCTGACGATACTGATAAAGCTGATCTAAGGTCGGTACTAATCAGGTTAGGTCCTACGGTCTCAACCTCCGCGTTTTTGGAGATGCAAAAACAAAGTGATTTTGAAGGTCTGTTATTTATCCAACTGCACATTTGATTGACAGATATTTCCACAGTGATGTTTAGAGGAAGCTGATCAATATGTACACTACATCAGTTGCGTCGGAAACGGCAGTCTTTGTTTTCTCAAGACTGAAAATGTGAGATGTGCTTCTCATATATAAGAATTTTATGAGACATCACAAACACTTTCTGTTTTATAAAAATTTATTTATAGTCTACATGGTCTTCATTCATAACATAAACAGTTACACCAACATCTATTTTTTCTTTCTTGTTTTTTTGCATACATGCATTTTAATCTGATTCTATAGGTTTCTGTTTCATGTCCATATTATACTTAATCGGACATGAGATGTTTTTCCTTCACTTTCACGTCTCATGTGAACAATAACTAGACTGCAAGATAGATTATATTTTTACCTTAGTTACATATTTTTACTTACATTCAACTGAAGAAATTAATCGTGTTGAATCTTAGTAATTGAGGGGTCTCTGAAGGTTAAAAACTATATAAGGAAACTTCAGACACCCTTGGGCTTATGTTGAACACTCAACTTAACATGTTAAACGTGAACAGATTTTATTGTCACCAGTTTTACACGGCTTTACTTTATATATTTATCTATACTTTACTTTTGAATATTTAGAATAGATTAATAACAAATATAAAAAACCCAATTGGATTAAAAGGAAAGTGTTTTTTTCTGATCTATCTAGACCTTAACAATTTAAAAATATATTAGAAAAAGAAATTGTTAAATTAACTTCCCTTTAAAAAAAATGAAATGCAAAATGGATACAAATACAAGCAATAATCAATAAACAAAAACTCACAGGATAATTTGTTTTTCATAAAAAATATTTCAAGAATAATAATAGACAAAGGAAATCAAAGACTGTGCATTAATCAGAGTGAGCTGTCAATCATCAAAGACACACGCCAACCAATTTCCAGAATAAAACACCATTCAGATTTCATCAGAAAACACAAACTTCAAACTGCACAAATTTATGCAACATTAAAGATGATGGCATGCATCCAAGACTCTCAGAAATTCTTACAAGTCAAGAATGCCATTTTGACGTATTCAATTCTTCCAACCTCATTGGATATTGATGATCTGGCACTGAGTCTTGAAAGAGATCAGTTTCTTTGGCATCAAACACCGAGGGGAAAATACCACATATGCTACCTAGGGGATTATCATGGTTATACACCAAATACCCTCCATGCATATTCATAGAAAATTCCTTAAATACTTTAACTTATCTATAATCCAGTATTCATGAAGTGAAATGTAGAAAACAAAATAATGCTATTGTATATTGTGTTTCTGTCAGTAATTTACATTGGTAATATTTCTCAGTGCATTTTCTCATGTATGTTTTATTGCATAAGACTTAGTTAATAGGTCATTCTGATAACAACTTATAAAGTATCCTATTTTGATATTTTGACATAATTCAAGGGCAAACAATTATTCTCATATTTTTGATATTTTCCAAGCACTGATGGAGAGATTGAGTGAATAAGTTCGTAAGTTGGTCATGGGGGGGGAGAGAAAGGAGGAGAAAGAAACGACCTGAAAAAGGCTTCAGACATTATCTTGTCAGGATCGAACCCAGGTCTTCGGCAAGTGAATGCTGTAACCAATTGGCTAACCCACCACCCCTAAATGAGCATGCTGGCATATATGATAATATGATTCACAAAAGATAAATCCATCTTAAAATTTGTTTTGTGGTAAGCACGACCCTCCACAATTTTCCAGCTTTTTGACAGCGGTCTTTAAATAATCCACGCTGGACCAGACCATCTTGAGCATCGACCTGTAACGTAATTAGGATACGATGACTTGTATCAACCAAGTCAGTAAGCCTGACCACCTGATCCCATCATTCGCCCCGAATGCGACAAGCATGGCTTGCTGAAGATCAATTCTAACCTGGATCTTCATGAGTTCACAGCCATCATTTAGGGACATGAGCGAGTGAGTGCATTTAGTTTTACACTGCACTCAGCAATATTCCAGCTTTATGGCGGCAGTCCGTAAATAATCGAGTCTGGACCAGATAATCCTGTGACCAACAGCATGAGCATTGATCCGCGTAATTAAGAACCGATGACATGTGTCAACCAAGTCAGTGAACCTGACCACCCGATCCCATTAGTCGCCCCTTATGACATTCTAACCTTCAAGGGTCTTTAGGGACATTTCAAGATGTTCCCTGCAACATCTGCATAACATTTTAGGGCCTTTCTAACTTTAGTCACTGACGAATCATGACAATGTTATCCTGCAACTGTTCACTGCTATAAAGACCGAGTGAACTCTGACTAGTGTTCAACAATACCGGTCGTAAACCTGGCAATAAATACCACAATCTGAAGTATGCCTGGTGTCATGATTTGACTGTTTACACGCAGCATGTTTGATTTCCATATTTTCTTTTGATGATTAAAATCATTTCAACTCTGGTAATGTCATTTCTGCATGACATGAAAAAAATCAATAGACATAAAAAATCCTTTAAATCAATAACAGTAATGCATATTGGGTTTGTTTGTTGCATGACGGCGGTCTGTAAATAATTGAGTCTAGGACCGGACAATCCAGTGATCAACAACCCGAGCATCAATCTACGCATTTCGGATACAATGACATGTGTCAACCAAGACCCATATCAGACAAGTAGATTATATGAATCAACGTTTTTCAATGCTAACGCTAATTGTCTTTTCACAAGTAAGTCGAGAAGTGTACATCTCCAACACCTTGTGTTGTTGCACAGTCAGAATGACAAAAACAGAGGAAAAAACAGCGTAGCATTTAGAAACTAAACAAAAAGTGAGTTTAGTTTTACGCCACACTCAGCAATTTCCCAGCTATATAGCGGTGGTCTGTAAATAATCGAGTCTGGACCAGACAATCCAGCGATCAATAGCATGAACATCGATCTGCAATTGGGAACCGATGACATGTGTCAACCAAGTCAGCGACCCTGGCCACTTGATCCCGTTAGTGGCCTCTTACTTCCAACATGTGTTTGAGCAGGAATGAAGACCTAGAAGATTTCTGGAACAAATATGGAGTAACACACAGGCCTACTTTCTGCTGCCATAGTTGCTCCATGTGACCTGATTCCTGACCCGAGCAAGGTGCACACTGATTGATTGATTTAATACCTGAGTAAACATAACCATCACTGTATGCATCGATTAGATTTTCTGATGTTAAATCAATTTTCAAACTGATAACCAATACATAAATTTCCATGTGAATGGAAGCCGGATTCTCTGGAATCTGAGACCCAATACTGAAATACTTTAGTATCAATCTATTCAAACATTAGACAAAAAAAAAAAATTCAAATGAAATTCTTTGAAATCTGAATCACAATACTAACCTTAACTTTTACAACATTTAATAAATAATTTTCAAATGAAATCTCGATGTCAAATTATAAATGAGAAACAAAAAACACATCTGTATCATAATAACTTAATGATTATAATGGAATTTCCACAAAGAGTTGATGCATCCCTTTGACTTGTAATACAGATGTTTGCTAAGAGTAAGAAGCAAAAACCATAGTTTCAAATATCTGCTTTGCCATTGGATATCTTGTGAAATCTTGAGTTTTTCAGTGTTTGAAATAAAGGGGGGCTCTGGGATACTTGGAGTAAGAAAATTGTACATAATTGTATATAATTGTGTTTAATTTTATCTCTTGTACCACCATGTTTGGTTTTTCTGAGAAACAAATGAGCTTGAGGCTCCCTTGATGATAGGCCCCTTAATGATATCTCTCAGTGAATAGTGGGCAGAGAACAAGTGCTACAAAGTGGATTTAACACATGGCTCATACAGAACTCAAACAGCCCAGTTTCAAACCTCTTTATCAATCTTTTTAACATATCAAAGGCAATGATCACACTTTTTAAGGCTAACACCTGACGAAAAAAATTCCTGACACAGATCATAAACATAGTAATGAGAAATACATGGTAGATAATAAGGAAATAGTGCTGTAATATACGTACACATGTACTCATCACGATCATGCTGTAATGTCCTTATAATGTAAACCTTGGCTAGAACAACAAAGCTCAAAGCTGTTAGTTCTCTGTCACACCTTCACTGTCCCAACATGAACTCTGTGATTGTCTCATGACAAATAATAACAACAGCAGAGATGGAGAGAGAGAGAGAGAGAGAGAGAGAGAGAGAGAGAGAGAGAGAGAGAGAGAGAGAGAGAGAGAGAGAGAGAGAGAGAGAGAGAGAGAGAGAGAGAGAGGGAGAGAGGGAGGAGAGAGAGAAAGAGAGAGTACAACAATATAATAGGTGTGTGTGCCAATAATAGTGCCAACCCATTGAGACATCATGCTGCATTGCTACCTCACACAGACTCCTTACACTGACTCACATAGAGTTTAGTTTTACGCTGCACTCAGCAATATTCCAGCTATATGGCAGCGGGAGAGAGAGAGAGAGACAGAGAGAGAGACAGAGAGAAAGGTGAAGGAGACAGATGCCGAGAAGAAAAGGAGAGAGAGACAAAGAAAAAAGGAGACAGATCAGGCAGAGAGAATGAAGAGACAGAGCCAGAGAGAGGAGAGCCAGAGAGAAAAGGTAAGAGAAAAAGAGAGAAGATGAGACAGAGAGGGGGGTGAGTGATATAAAATTTTACGTCACATTGGCAATATTTCAGCCATATGATGATGACAGAAATTCATAAATCAAGAATAAATCTTAGAATACTGTATAAAAGGCTGTCATCAAAGGACAGTTTAACTGTTAGAATATCACATATATCATTAAAACTAGTTTGAGAAAATTA